TTTGTTCTAGAGGTTGTATTTGTGTTGTTGCTTGGGTTATTGATGGAGATATTACAGTATTTTGTGAGCTAGTGGTGCTGTTTAGGTTTTTGCGTTTGGGTTGAATACGAGTGGGTTGTTTCTGAGAAGAAGGAGTATTGCGTTTTTTAACTGTGCTAGGACGTGTAACTTTATTGGGTGGACCTGTCTTTATAGTGCATGTTGCGTTACTTGTATTTATGGTGTGTCTTTGTTCTTGAGGTTGTATTTGTGTGGTTGCTTGGGTTTTTGGTGGAGATATTGCAGTATTTTGTGAGCATGTAGTTCTGTTAAGGTTTTCGCGTTTCGGTTGAATACGAGTGGGTTGTGATAATGTGGTGTGTTTCTGTGAAGAAGGAGTTTTGTGTTTTTTAACTGTGCTAGGACGTGTAACTTTATTGGGTGGACTTGTCTTTGTAGTGCAAGTTGCGTTACTTGTATTTATGGTGTTTCTTTGTTCTTGAGGTTGTATTTGTGTTGTTGCTTGGATTATTGGTGGAGACATTACAGTATTTTGTGAGCCTCTAGTGCTGTTAAGGTTGCTGCGTTTGGGTTGAGTACGAGTGGGTTGTGATAACGTGGTGTGTTTCTGAGAAGAAAGAGTATTGTGTTTTTTAGCTGTGCTAGGCCGTGTAACTTTATTGGGTGAGGGCGTCTTTGTAGTGCATGTTGCGTTACTTGTATTTATTGCGTTTGTTTGTTCAGCAAGTTGTGTTTGTGTGGTTGGTTGAGTTAAGGGTGGAGATATTACAGTATGTTGTGTGTCATGTTGTGAGTCTAAAGTGCTGTTTAGGCTTTTGCGTTTGGGTTGAATACTAATGGGTCGTGGTAATGTGGTTTGCTTCAGAGGTGAATCTCTGATTGTAGTATATGTTGTATCATTTGTTGTACTTGTTGTGTACTTATTATTATTATTATTATTATTATTATTATTATTATTATTATTATTATTATTATTATTATTATTATTATTATTATTATTATTCTTATTATTATTATTATTATTATTATTTTTTTTTTTTTTTTTTTTTTTTTTTTTTTTTTTTTTTTAGGTTTTCTATTAACCGAGCGGAGGCGGCGTCTACAACGCAGGTAATTGGCTCACCACCACTAAGTTTGTAAGTATTATTTTATAATGTTTACTAATATTTAGTACATTTCACACTATATTTCTTTGTATAGGTTTGTATCTCTCAGGAATTTTATAATATTTTGGTAATTGTTAGCGTTTTTTAATATAAGCATATCTGTGATATTGTGCTGTTTCCTGTAGATTTCTAACCTTTGGCATTCTTGCATAATATGCATGACAGTTATTTCCGCTCCACATTGCGCACAACGTCTATGTGTTTGTCCGCGTAGGAGGTGACTGTGTGTTAGTTTCGTGTGGCCAATACGTAACCGTGTTATTATAACTTGATCTTTGCGTTTTAGGTTTTCGCTCTTACTATGCCCCCAAAAAAGGTCAGGTTGTATTATTTTCAACTGTGTTTCCACTGTAGACCACTGATTTTGCCATTTTTCTTTCATAAGGTTTTTCATTCTGTTTAGCACATCTGGTACAGTTAGTTTAGTTATCATAACAGACGATGTTGATAAACCTGCTTCCCTTGCTGCCTTTTTTGCTTTTATTAGTTCTAGGTGTACGTTGTCATTTTGTGCTAACATCAAAACCACTTTCTTTCCAGATTCGTTTAACTTGTCCCATTGTTTAATAACTGTTCTTTGTAGGGAGTTGTCAGTAAAGCAATTTTGCAGGGATTTTGTTGTTTTTAGGCAACCTATGATTTTTGTGATTTGTGTATTCTGATCACAGATTTCCAAAGCTTTTAGAACTGCCATGTGTTCCATGCTCTCCAACGTATGATATTCTGAAAATTTCCACGAATTTATGTAATTATTGGCAATCACTGCACATCCCTTCGCTTTCTGGTCACTCCATGTCGCTACAAACAAATTATTTGTTTTCCCTTCTGCTTTTAGTTGTTCTTCTGAGGGCTTTAGCACGTCTGGTAATGTAAGTTCCCATGGCATTTTGTCCGGCACTAATTCCCAAAGTTCTAGTTCCATAAGATTCTCATTTCTCATTTCAGTGTGCATTTGTACTATCGATGGAATGGTCCTCGTCTGGTGCCAATCGTATTTGGTATGCCAGGTAGGGTTCATAATGTGATCAGGAAGTGATTTGGCTTAGCACATCGTTTCACCCCATGTTTAAATTTTTGTTGCTCAAATCTCAGTCGTAAAGGCAAAGAATTGCTTTCAACATTCAGACTGGGTATCGGAGATGTTCGGAAAGCCCCAGTGACTATGCGAAGTGCACTGTTCCACACGGACTCTATCTTGTTCATATAGGTTTTACTAGCGTTGGTATAGACTTCCGCTCCATATTGTAATCTACTTCCTATGAACGCGTTAATGACTTTAGATAGGGTTTCTCTATCTGCTCCCCATGTATAACTACCTATAACCCTAATTCTGTTAATTATAATCTTACATTTCGTTATCAAGTGGTTGATGTGTTTGGCCCATGTTAGCTTGCTGTCCAGAATTATGCCTAAAAACTTTATCTCTTGCGTGTTTGGTATTGGCGTTTCATTTAGATATAGGGTTGGAACTTCATGTTTATGCCTAAGTCGACAAAAGTGAAGACATCGGGTTTTCATGCCGGAAAAGGTAAAGCCTCGGGATTCTGCCTCTTCGGTTACCTTGTTTATGTCGTTTTGAAGGGTTTCTGTAATTTCATGCAAGTTTCTTCCTGCACGAATTATGCATAGGTCATCCACGTAAAGTAAAGCTTTAGTGTTTTCTGTAATACTGTCTGCTATGTTGTTCATAGAAATGGCAAATAGTGTCACGCTCAGCACGGAGCCCTTAGGGATTCCGTTCTGTTGAGAGACTATCCTAGATTTTGTTTTTCCCACTTTCACCTGCATTGTTCGATCATTAAGGAAACTATTAATAAATTTAGGTAGGTATCCTTTATAGTTCCACTTGTGCAGTTTTTCAAGTACTCCGTATCTCCAAACTGTATCATATGCCTTCTTTATGTCAAAGAAGATTGCTGTTGCATGTTGTACTTTTGTGAAAGCTTCTTTTATTATATAATCCAAGAACAATAACTGATCAGTTGTTGAATGGTTCTTTCTAAAACCTGCTTGATATTTGCTGAGGTGATTTTCTTTCTCTAGGACAGCGACTAGTCTACGGTTTACCATGGATTCTAGTACCTTTGACATACACGATGTAAGTGAGATTGGTCGGTAATTTTCAGGCTTGTTATGATCTTTGCCATCTTTAGGTAACGGTATTATTGTTGCTAACTTCCATGACGATGGATATGTGCTAGAGGTCCATATTAGATTATAAAGCTTTAGTAATACGATTTTTATGTGGAGTGGTAGATGTTTAAGCATGTCATAAGTTATTCTGTCATGTCCAGGGCTTGTATCTTTGGTTTTTCCTAAGACGTTTTCCATTTCATGCATTGTGAACGGGGCGTTGTAGATTTCGTTATCGTTGCTGTGAAAGTTTATGGGAGTGGCTTCTTTTACTTGTTTAATGCTCAAGAATGATTGTGAATAGGAACTGTCTGCTGATACACTTTGGAAATATTCAGCCAGACAGTTTCCAACCTTGATCGGGTCTGACGTTATTTGCCCATCTACGGTTAAAGTTGGTTGTTTTGGTGGATTACTCGTCCCTACGATGTTTTTTATTTTCCTCCACATTTCTGTTTGTTGGCTATACCTCGTAAGTGTGGACGTATATTCTTGCCACGACAACTTCTGAGCTTTCTTCTTTTCTACTTTCTCCTTTGCCCTGGCTCTTTTAAAAGCAATGAAGGTTTCTTCACTTCGGATTCTTCTGTAGCGATTTAAGAGTTTCTTCTTTGTAATATTTAGTTTTTTAATCTGTTCGTTCCACCAGGGGACGGGGGGTCGTTTAATGTTTCCTCCTTTACGAGGGATTGCTTTAGAGGCGGCTTCATTTATTGCATTAGTGAAATTGCATACAGCTTGGTTGATATCTGTATCTATGTTTGGAGTTTGAACTACTTCGGAAAATCTGTTCCAGTCGGCTTTTTTTGTATTATATTTCCAGTCCGCTTCATATTTATCTCTCTTCACGCCTAGTTCTATTGTTATTGGGAAATGATCACTACGGTGAGGATCTTCCATTACCTCCCAGTTGGTGATAAGGGTTATCCCCGGGGAAGCGAGCGATAGATCTATTGCACTGAAGTTTCCATTTGCTTCGTTAATATGTGTTGGTGTGCCGCTATTCAGAACGTGTAAGCCTTTTTCATTAATTACGTTTTCTAATAAGTCCCCTTTTGCGCTAGTATATGTACATCCCCATAGCGTACTATGGCAGTTAAAATCTCCTACCACTAGTACCGGTTGGGGTACTTGGGAGATAGTATTCATTAATTGTGCCTCCGTCCATGATGCGTTAGGTAAGTATATATTTAACAGGCTGAATTTTTTGCTCGTATGTATTTCTACCGCAATTGCTTGAAGCGAGGTGTTTAAGGGAATCGTCTTCGCATGTACATCATTTCTCACCATCACAAGTACTCCGCCATGACTTCTCTGGCCAGGCTCTAGTGCTAAATCGTTTCGGAATATTTGGTAGTTTTTCATAATAAATCTTTCTCCACTTTGTAATTTGCTTTCTTGTATGGCAACTATGATAGGTTCTATATCTCCAACCATCTGCCTTATTTCGTCGTACTTATTTTTAATCCCTCTTGCGTTCCATTGCAAAATCTTTTCTGTAGCCATTTTAAAGTATTTAAGTATAGGAATATATCTAAATAAGTTATTAGATTGTCAAAATAGACGAAATATACATACATTGATTAGACGCACAGATAAAATAATATATAAAATATAGGTATAATATGTAAATAAATTATAATTACGAATAGATTATCACAGTATATCGTTGTATCACAGTACTATTTCTCTGGTTATACGTTAATTACTTTGGCTTGATTTCCTTTTGTAGCGGTCTGGGTTATAGCTAGTGACTGCCGGGTCCTTTCTTTGGCTTATTCTTGGTACACCTTTAGGGTATCCCCTAGGTTTTTTTTTCTGTCCATCGGGGGGATCGGTTTTCTTTTTATCGCTTTCCGAATGTCCATCGGCGTCGGATATGGATTCTGTTTCAGGGTCGGTTTCGGTCTGATTATACGACCAGTCAGAGAGGTTGCATTTGTAGGTATTCTCGTCTTGCTTGATATTGCTATTCGATGCAGTGGGTGGTGTTTGTGGAGTTTTGAAAGGTGTGCGACTTGCAGGACCATCTAGGTTACCTAGTGTCGTCTTAACCAGGTCATTTAAATTTGTATTTGTTTTTATAATGTTCTTTGTGCGATCCGCAAATGTTTCTGACGGTACCACGTATGACTTACCGTAGACCATTACTCTTGCTTCTCGGAAGTTAATATTTTTCTGGGTGGCCTGTACTCTCATCACCTCTTTTTCCTTTACGTACGTTGGGCAGTTGACGTAGTTTGATTTATGTGGTCCTCCACAATTTGTACACTTTGGTGGGTCGGAGCACGGTTCGCTTTCCGCATGCTGCTCCTTTCCACAACTGCAGGTTGGGACGTTTCTACAGAACTTTGTTAGATGACCGAATTTTTGGCATCTAAAACATTTCCTAGGAGCACCAATATATGGCCGTACCTGTAGTTTGAGGTACGCCGCTTTAATAGTCGTGGGGAGTGTGCTCTTCCCAAAGGTAAGTTTAATCGTTGAGGAAGGTACTCTGTCATTTCCTTGTTTTTTGGTCATTTTATAAACGTCAATGACTCCTTGGTCTTTTAATTCCTGTTTTAGCTCATCCTCCGAGCATGACGCCAACTCTAGACATGTTATAACACCAATAGATTTATTCAACCTGTCGTTCGGTTGTACTGTTGTCTTTGTACCTAGTATACTTTCTAGTTGTTTTAATTTCACGGCTTGTTCTATAGTGCCTACTTTGACACCTAATAGTCCTATTCCTATTTTCTTTATTTCTATTTCTGCTCCTATACATTCAAAGATCTTCCTTTGTATTGTAAACGGGGAAAGGGTTTTGTATTCCGCTTCGTCAATGTTTATGATGTGATACTTTTCTGTAAGTTCTTCTTTGCTCATTTGTTCGTTTTTGTTCGGGGTGTGTCTTTTCTTCTGACGTTTTCTTTTCCTTAAGTTGTCCGGTGTATCTTGTTGTGGTTTCTGAATTATTATTATTATTATTATTTTTTTTTTTTTTTTTTTTTTTTTTTTTTTTTTTTTTTATATTTTTTTTTTAGGTTTTCTATTAACCGAGCGGAGGCGGCGTCTACAACGCAGGTAATTGGCTCACCACCACTAAGTTTGTAAGTATTATTGTATAATGTTTACTAATATTTTTAGTACATTTCACACTATATTTCTTTGTATAGGTTTGTATCTCTCAGGAATTTTATAATATTTTGGTAATTGTTAGCATTTTTTAATATAAGCATATCTGTGATATTGTGCTGTTTCCTGTAGATTCCTAACCTTAGGCATTCTTGCATAATATGCTTGACAGTTATTTCCGCTCCACATTGCGCACAACGTCTATGTGTTTGTCCGCGTAGGAGGTGACTGTGTGTTAGTTTCGTGTGGCCAATACGTAACCGTGTTATTATAACTTGATCTTTGCGTTTCAGGTTTTCGCTCTTACTATGCCCCCAAAAAAGGTCAGGTTGTATTATTTTCAACTGTTTCCACTGTAGACCACTGATTTTGCCATTTTTCTTTCATAACGTTTTTTATTCTGTTTAGCACATCTGGTACAGTTAGTTTAGTTATCATAACAGACGATGTTGATAAACCTGCTTCCCTTGCTGCCTTTTTTGCTTTTATTAGTTTTATGTGTACGTTGTCATTTTGTGCTAACATCAAAACCACTTTCTTATCAGATTCGTTTAACTTGTCCCATTGTTTAATAACTGTTCTTTGTAGGGGGTTGTCAGTAAAGCAATTTTGCAGGGATTTTGTTGTTTTTATTATTATTATTATTATTATTATTATTATTATTAATTTTCTTTTCAGATGAGGTAAAATAATTTAGTAACTTTTTTATATTAAATATGGTACTATTTTTATATTGTTTGAAAGGCCTTGACTGAGCTGTTTTCGATTTATTACGAGCGAACGCATGGCAGTACTCGGCACCGATTGGCCACGGAAACGCCTCGTACGTCTACCTCTGTCGGTGCAGATCCCGATAAACAATTAAAGAAACGCGTTTTTAATATTTACAATACTAATTGACGTTTGCTCCGTACAATTTGCCCTCGGTTTTGGATTAAGCATATCCTGAAATCGGCACGGCGGAGGCCTGTAATTATGGATTGTTAGAAAAAGTCACCTTTGCATATATAAAAGTCTGATTCACACTGAAAATATTACTATCGGGTTGTTCGGAAAGTAATTTCGTTTTTCTTCAACAGAGAACCTAATTGTATTGTTTCACAGCCAATTTTACACTTAAGCCGCATAAACATTAAATATTTTGACAGCTGACATAGTAATGCTTGTATGGTAAGAGTTTTGTTTGATTCTTTGCCATATAGTCCAGTCAAATTAGCGCAATTTTGGACAAATAAAAACATTAATTGGTAAAGATCTGAATTTTGGTATACACATTTATTGGGACTTTCTATTGAACATATTAAAAGTCCCTGTCAAAATCTGTTGCGCTCGAGACGCCATCTTGGAAAAACGGTACACTTTTCCAGTTTTTTGCCCATGTCTCGGCAATTATTACTGACACGAAGAAATAGTTTACATGAAAAATATAGTTTACTAAATTCCCTATAAAAAAGAGTATTTACATTTTTTTTGTATCTCCAGTACTTTAGCTGTAATTTCACGTTGAATACGTCAGAACGCGTTTAGGCCCCGTATCGTAATATTATAGGAGGCCGTCTTTTTTATGACTACATCGATAGCTGTAATAGAGCCAAAAAATGAACAGAATCGTCGTGCGATAAAGCATTCTACCAATGACATAATGTTTGATGATACATCATGTTTTTTTCAAAAAGGTAAGCGAAAATGTGTAAAAGTGTTGGAGCAACGAAATGATTTCTGAAGCTGAAGAACGCCCTTATCTGCATAAGTATAACGTGCCTGCTAGTGAGAGATATTAAAACCGACATCGTTATCAGACCTTCAGAATGACCTTGACCCTGTTCGGACACTCAGTGCTCACATTGAAGATGAAAGTTCTATTGAGAGAGAGTTTTATGAGAAACCTTACTAAACGTGTCTCATACCAAGCTTGAGTGCGACGACTTCGCATATATAAGAAATACTGGTAGAATTTTCAATGAATTTTTAATGATTTGTAAAAAGTTGTAAAAAAATATCTGCGCGACTGTTTCGAGAGCTCAGGATACTTGATTCCCTATTCGATGTCGGATTATAGCTAAAGTATTGGGCATACAGAAAAATGTTAATATGCTTTTTTATGGGCAATTTAATAAACTATATTTTTTATCTGAACTATTTTTCCGTATCAATAATTGTTGCCGATATATAGGCAAGAAACTGAAAAAGTGCTCCTTTTTTCCAGGATGGCGCCTCGAGCGCAACAGATTTTGACGGGGACTTTTAGTATGTCCAATGGGGAACACTAATGAACATGTGTACCAAAATTTCAGATCTTTACCGATTAATGTTTTTATTTTTTCTTATTTGACTGGACTAATAGTTTTTGTTTGGTGCCCTATCAAAGATGGAAAATCGAAATCAGCATTTTCGGCATATTTTACTTTTTTACTATCGAAAAGGTAAAATGCAGTTCAGGCAAGGCGGAAATGATGCGATGTGTATGGAGAAGATGTACTGACCGAACGACAATGCCAAAATTGGTTTGCAAAATTTCGTTCCGGCAATTTCGATCTTGAAGATGCACCACGTTCTGGAAGACCCGTTGAAGCCGATGGAGACGAAATAAAGGCATTGGTAGATGCAAACAGTCAAATAACAACTCGTGAGATTGCTGAGAGGTTACATTTATCGAATTCGACCGTTCATCATCACGTGAAACGTCTTGGTTTTATTTCAAAACTTAATATATGGGTTCCACATGTTCTTACAGAGAGAAATTTGCTTCGGCGCATTAACGACTGTGATTTGCTTCTCAAACGTCAAGAAAATGATCCATTTTTGAAGCGTATCACTACTGGCGACGAGAAATGGGTTGTTTACAAAAATTTTAAGCGGAAGAGATCATGGAGTAAAAAAGGTGAACCAGCTCAAACCACTGCGAAGGCCGATATTCGCCAAAAAAAGGTTATGCTATCTGTTTGGTGATATTTCAAAGGGATAGTTTTTTTTGGGCTTCTACCGGACAATACCACGATTAATTCTGAAGTGTACTGTGGTCAACTGGACAAATTGAACGATTCACTTAAACAGAAAAGGCCAGAATTGGTCAATAGAAAACGTGTAGTGTTCCACCACGATAATGCGAGACCTCACACAAGTTTGGTAACCCGCCAACAGCTTTTACAGCTTGAATGGGATGTACTACCACACCCACCATATTCTCCAGATTTGGCACCTTCAGACTATTACTTGTTCCGGTCTCTGCAAAATTTTTGGACGGGAAGACCTTCACCTCAAATCAAGACGTCAAATTTCACTTGGACCAGTATTTTGCTTGCAAAGACCAGAAGTTTTATGAGCGTGGAATCAATGTCCTGCCCGAAAGATGACAAAAGGTATTGGACCAAAATGGAGAATATATAATTTAATAAAATGTTTATACACTTTAAAAAATTCGTCTTTCATTTTCACCACACAAAACGAAATGACTTTCCGAACAACCCCAATAGAATCTAGTGGTAAAATTAATAGACTCATTTTATACTTCAAAGTATTTCTGTTCAGGATATTTAAAGTTCATTTTTACGTACCTAATTAAAATGTCTAAATATAATCATGACTCCCAAGTAAGAAAGTCGATGTATGAGATTATTGCATTAAAAGGAATTTATTTCAGTTCATCGTATCTGAATGTGGATTTTAAATATGGCCGCTATGAATCAGAAAGAAAATTAGATTTAAGTAATGATCGCGGTGTAAATAGAATTTAGTTCATACTATGTAAATAAAGTAAATTAGGAAAAAAACTGCATATAAATATCGAGTATTCACGCTAAGGTCAAAGTCCGAGTCATTGTAAATAATTTATTTAGAGCTAGTAGAACGATTTGAATCCGTATACTCGCTACCACTGTCAAATTAACAAATTATTCACGCATGATCAGTCTATAAACGTAAGTGGATTGTGCGCGTAAAGCAGAGATGGGGCCACGGGATAAACACTACGAGAGTATAAATACGGAAATGTCCAGTACCAGGAGAGAGTTGCTCGCCGTCTTTTCACGGAGCAACACCATAAGCGCGTAGTATTGTAATAAGCGAATCGAGGCGATATTTTAAGAAAAATAGAAACAAAGAACCGAGCGAGAACATCTCCATCCAGTCACTACATCGAAAGCGAAGACGATTCTTCACGGCACTTCAGAGAAAGTCTGGAGGATTGCGAGATTTCCGAAGAACAGTTCCATTTGTTACCGGGCGGGGTAACGTAAGTGGCAAACGGAGGTTGAAAACGTATATTACACAATATTTACAAATAATACAGAGGCTATATGTACATATATAAGATCGCTTCTGGCACGTGGGATGGCGCCGGACTTGACTACGGTCAAGCCGGGAAGTGATGGCGTGCGGAGACGGTACTTGAGCCCAAGCGACCAGCCTCAGTCGCTTGTGTAGGGTAAGGTAGGCTTGCCCAGGCACAAGTGAAGTTCCCCTGTCGGTGCGCTGCTTATAAACGATTTCCGGTAGAGGCGTCTGGCGACGCGGCCAATAGGGCGCTAGTGGATGGTGGGGTGGAAGTTGCAACCCCTCTCCTAGTCGTCGTAACAGTATCCCCCCCCTGTAAAGGGGTTGCGACGGCGGGGTGCAGGCGCTGTAGCAAACGGCGGTGACGGGGTTGTCGTTGGTTCCGTGGTGGCGTCGGTGAAATGATTCTTGGCGGAAGTTCCGGTACTGGTGCCGGGGTGGGTTGGTTGGGTGCAGGGCGTAGATCGTGTACGTGCACC